CATCGCTGGTTCGAGAAATCACCGCTTTGTTCTCGAAAATTTGGTCGAAAGAGAAAGTTCCATCATCTTGAAGTGAATCGATAGTCGTCCCCATATTCAAAAAGGGCCTGCGCACCATCTGCTCCAACTACAGAGGAATAAGCTTAGTCCCCGTCGTTTGCAAGCTGCTGGTGTCCATCATACTTTGCTGGCTATCCCCAACACGCGAATCGTTGCAACGCGAAGAACAAGCTGGGTTTCGCCCTGGTCGCGGCTGCATCGATCAAACCTTCACACTCCGCCAGATCCACGAGCTCCGCCATGTGTATCAAAGGCCAACGATTGCTGTGTTCCTGAATATCCGTGCAGCCTTCGATTCTGTCAATCGTACAGTACTGTGGCACCGCCTACTGTGGAATGGTGTCCTCGAGAAGTTCGTCTCCATGCTGCGCGCTCTATATAGTCTGACCTCGGGCAGGGTTATGGCTTATGGCAAGCTTTCGCCTACCTTTGTGGTCTCCGGTGAAGTTCGACAAGGATGCACTATCTCTCCGTACCTATTGAACTTTGTCATTGAGGATGTCTTGAAGAACGCTCTAGGAGATTCGTTGAACGCTGGCGTTGAGCTCCTCCCAGGTAGTCGAATTGTTAATTTGGATTATGCTGATGATGTCGTCTTGCTGAGCGACGATCCACAGATTGTCCAACTTGCATTAAACCGCTTGGCGATTGAAGCATCAAAGTACGGTATGTAATTTTCGCCATCCAAATGCAAGGCTCTCTTCCAAGTCTGGCAGGTGCCTCTGCCTGCACTCACACTTGCTGGTGAGACACTAGAGGTTGTGGAGAGCTTTGTCTAATTGGGAAGTTGCATCACTGCTGGCGGAGCTGTTGGAGACGAGATTACGATGTGCATCTCGAGAGCAAGCCTCGCTTTTTCTAGGCTGAGGCCTTTGTGGCGTCGCCACGACATTCGTCTCTCCATCAAAGGGCGGGTCTAGTGTGCGACTGTTCGTGCTGTACTGTTGTACGGATACGAGACCTGACCCATTCGTAAAGATGACTTGCGCAGGCTATCCGTCTTCGAGCACCGCTGTCTGCGGTCCATTGCTCGTGTGTGGTGGCAGCACCACGTAAGTAAGGTGGAAGTTAGACAGCGTGTCTTGGGACGTGAAAGCCACTCGCTCGAGGAGCTCATCTCACTGCATCAACTGCAGTGGTTGGGACACGTATTGCGCACGCCTGTCCAGCGTTACCCCCGTCGTGCGTTGTTTGCACTTGCTGGACAGGGCTGGAAGAGACGGTCTGGTGGACAGCCTACAACATAGAGAAGCCGCAGGAAAAAGCTGACGAAACAGTTGGCCTCGGCTGGTTGTTGTCGACTACCTGGTTGGGGTCCGAGAGATGCGGATACTTGTTGGTTGAAGACCTTGAAAGTTATGGCTCAAGATCGATGTCAATGGCGAACGTGTACATCGGTTTGTTGCGGTATCCCTCCTTCCTCCCTCTAAAAAAAGAACAAACTGATTTTTTTTCAAAAACTATGAGTGGTAAAATAGACAAAAAAGCAGTTCTTGTTGCTCTTTTCTTATTATTCATATTGTTTTCCTATTCAGCCATGATTTCGAAGGCACAATATCTGTATCACAGATTGTGTATAATATATATCTGGAGTTTGCCAGTACTATGTACAAAATAGTGGGCGTTGACGAGCTCATGTTAACACCATGTTATTGAGTGCCAACGTCCGACTGGAACCCGAGCTAAAACAAGAGATGGCGCAAAGCCTTTCTCTAGGTGGTTTCAACCACCTTAAGCTTCGGCGACTCCCCAGGTTACTCTCTCAATCAAACAGCGTCTCACCATCTGCAGTGCGTTGCTTTTTGGCACATTGATGAGGAGTGAGCTACGTCAACATAAATCATCGTTTCATCTTCGTTACACGCGAGCTCATCACGGTTCTTTACAAATGTATTCGTTCACCCTGTCAATGGCTACAATAGACTAGCAATTGCATACAGACCAGTACATACAAACCGTTGCTAAGCCGTTAACTGTATCACAATTACCACGGGGTCCTTCCGCAATCACTGCGGTACGTCGTGCATTGCGGTGCATACGCTGATGGTCCCCACATCAGTAAGGCCTATCATGCTCTACATTCAACAGCAGTTAACATTTAATTCGGCCACACCCACCGTCAGCTAACACTTGATGTGCATCCCACCTTGTTTAATGGTATCTCACATTGATTGTTTCACATGGACAGGTACACACACCATGACAAGTAGAAATACTGTTAAGCATAATTCATACCACACGAAATCGACCAACATGTCTGCTTAGCTTGCGTGCACCTAGGTTGTGTGGCCAATGGCTGATGAGTTTCAGTGTCCGGCTCACCTCAGGTTCGGTGGAGATGGGCGAATGAGAAATCTCGAGTCGATTTTCGGTCCATGCAATTGTCCGTTATTTGTCTTGATGCCGTTCTACGAGGGTCATTTAATAAATAAGGTGAATTTTTCGCTATAAGGACTTCTAATGCAGATAGAAGCATAATTTTTGTTTATTTTTGTTGTTTTACTTCTTTTTCACATGGATGTAATTTCTTTTGCAGATTGAAAAAGCTTCGAGAGTTGTAGCGATCAACAAAGATGGCCGACCAAATAGCATGCTCCAGGATTGAACAGCGATCAGTTATCAAGTTTTTGGTTGCTGAAGAGTGCAAGCCAGTTGAAAATCATAGGAGAATGTCACCTGTGCATGGTGCCACATGTTTCAGCCGAAAAATTGTCTACAAGTGGGCAAAATAGTAAAAGAAGGAGGGAGCAGTGTTGAGGATGAAGACAGGCCTGGGAGGCCTACAGAAGTGTGGTCTACTGAGGTGATCGAATCAGTCAATGACCTCATTCAATCGGACAGATGGGTGACAGTGGATGACTTTGCAAGGACTTTGAGCTTATCTGGAGACCTCACTTCTGTACGCCTACCAGGTCAAGTGATTTCGAATTCACACTCAGACCACCCTGGGGAACCTGATCAGGATTTGCACAAAAGTGTCATTTGGGCCCCAGTAGAACAACCGCATTGTTACATGGTTGGCGGCATCGGATTCCGGATTTGCCTGTCACTGCGACCTCCATAGGACAGCCACAGGATGCATGCGCCTACAGGGGAATCATGGGTGGTTTGCGTTGTACCGTCCGCAGCTCCATCCACACACAGAGCACACAAACCGTTCTAAACGGCTTAGCAATCGAAGCAACAAGATGGCATGACCTTTGCCCCATAGGAAATGCAAAGTCCTTATCCTGGATTGGCATCCACCTGCCCCAGGGATCACACTTCTGGGTAGGCAGTTTAAACAAGTGGACGATTTTGTTTGCCTGGAAAGCTGTGTTTCTCCTGATGGTTGCATTGGAGGAGAGATTTTCCTCTGTGTTGCCAAAGTCCTTTCGACGTTCGTCAATCTGATGCATGTGTGACAACATCGTGATGCTTCACTATTGGTAAACAGCAGCATGTTACTGTATGGGAGTAGATCCTGGCCGATTAGTGGGAATGACTTGCGTTGGATTTTGGCCTTTGACCACAGATGTCTGCGGAGAAGAGCTCGAGTGCGTTGGATGAACCACGTTCGCAACAAAGATGTTAGACTTCGTGCTTTGGGTAACACGGGACTTCCAATTGACCGACTTGTACCGCTGCGCCAACTGAAATGGCTGGACCACGTTTTACGCATGCCATGCGAACGAATGCCCCGACACGCTCCCTTCGCTGGCCTAGGAGCAGGCTGGAAGAAATCGTGCGGTGGTCCGCCTATCACATATCGACAAACGATCAAAGGGCTAAACTCCAAGTTAGCTGTCTTAGGTCCGGTGCGTCTTCCGGGCTGGGGCATCCAAGATGAAGAACACCACTGGCTGGAAACTCCCTCGGAGATGGCGCAGAACCGGGCCCAAAGCAAAACGTGTGCAAATGTTTGTCTTGATTTTCTTGATTAGGGCAAACATTAACCAGACAAAAAGACAAGATGAGGTGTGAAAAACGACGTAGAGAAGAATCAAAACAAAGAAGACTTTTTGCAAGCATCTGGCTTTTGCTTCTCTTTTGTGGTATCTGTAATTAGCACTTCTATTTTATGGGTGTTGCTGACTCTATGTCTATGTTATGGACTACATATATATATATATATATATATATATATATATATATATATATATATATATTAATGGGAGCCAGGTTTCAGCAACGGTGCCGACCCGCAGTCCTTCAACGCGCGCATCAACCGTAGTCATACCATGTACATCCATCAACCAAGATATACTTTGAAGGAAACTAGTCATGCAAAAATAGTATGGAATATGTAGTAGAATTACAGGACTGAGCAAATCAAACGAAGCAGACGAATATCTAATCTAATTGTAAGTCAGTGTAGCCCAACTGCAGTGACGAACCATGACGTATACAACATCAACCTCAGCTAGTTACCACTCCCTAAATTCAACATGGGCATCATAAAGTATATCAGCGCTTTGCAACCGGTTCAGGAGATAAAGAAAATGGGTTTTATCAGCTGAGTTCCTTTATCAGGATACCGTTTCACGACTGTGGCGTACAAGCGTTCCATATAGAGGGATATGTCACTACCAATGCCGACTCATCAACACGTATGTGCTCAGGATTTACGCCATCCAGCAACTCAGGAGGACCCCTGTTTGTGTGATTTGCATATGCGGCATTTGCATACCACCGGCACTTTTCGATTCTATATCACAACCCATCATTCGCATTACGTCAGCAACACACTCAAGGAAATACAACTGCCTAAAAACATCTTAGGCACTTGAGGGCAGGTTCATAGCTGCTAAAACGTGCTGCCCTAATTGTGGCCGTAGTTTTCGCGCAACTCGGAATACATACCTGATATTGCTAACACCTCCATTAGCTTACCTATCTAATCATTCAAGATTCAGCCAACTGTGAATGACCTCGAATTTTCCACAACGTTGTTATTTCAGCCATGGATATCCAAGCACGTCTGCCCACTGTAGTTACTGTTACACTGTTTTGGCTCATATCGGTCCAAGCTCAAACCGATGCAACCATATCTAATAGTACACCAATAATCGAAAAATTTAATGGGAGTACTGGAGCTGTTGAAACACGCATTTTGGTCGACAGTCCAAAGACTGACACTCAGTTCGAAGCAATCGCTTTTGGTTTGGAACAGTTTGCATCGCAAAATGTTCACGGCCCAATGGACTTTTCTGAAATGGATATAGCAGAGCTACCGGCCGTGGTACAACAATACTTCGTCGGTGGGTACAAGTCTAATCGACCGGAGACTTTGACCTGTTGGAAACCACAATACATCGGTCCAGTCGAGTTCAACGATACTCACGGGGTTGCGTACTCTCGGTCGTGGTATGTTGGTCAGTCCGGGTCTCCAAGAAAGCAGTGAGTTACAGAGTTTTGTCAACCACTTTGGACTCGCTAACACGATTGTGCATTTTTACTGTACCTCCGATGCAACCTAGGTTTCGTAGAATAATAACATATCTTCAGCGCTACATACTACTTAGTTTCTTACTAACCAAGCTATTTAGTTTGCAAGATCTATTGGTATTATCTTAATGGCCGTATATTAGGACACCAGTAGTGTGAATCCCATCTGCTGCATATGAAGCTAAAACCTGAGGCCTTACTACCACAAGTCCTGTGGCAGAGTTCTACGTTATGAGGCGTGTCCCTAGGGTGCAGATCGAGGAACGCCTTCCCTGTGTAGGTAACTTCAAACAAATCTCGTCTTCTTGGCAGGCGAGAAGAATAAGCAGCCTCGGACAATAAGCAGTAGCGTCCCAAGTCTTGGGAAGTTCTGGGCTGGCACTTGGTTCTGTCAAATACAAGTGCTCGTACGGCGCTGTGTCAAAGCCAACGTGACCGGCTATGGAGTCACTGACCCCTCACTACGGTTACCAGAAATTAGTACCTAACGGAGGGTGGATCAACAACCTTGTTGGCCACCGGGTTCTGTGTGGACTGCAATCGAACACAAAGGCGAATAAGCCACCTGGTTGTGGAAGGACTTTGTATTCAGCGATGGCTCCGCTATCTTGTGAGTCAGGTCTATAAGATCAAAGGCTCGGGATGGGGTCCTTTAATTAAACTCTCTTCTTCGGCCTGAACAACCGGGAAGCTGTATGTCCACACAACACACAAACCTGTTTAACGCTTCCTCCGACGGCCTCTTTTACCCCTTTTGTTGTTACCCAGGTGCTACGGCACTCTGCCCATTATTTAATGGTCAAGTGTTGAATATATATATATATATATATATATATATATATATATATATATATATAAACACAACTCATTAAACAAGACCACCAGGTCAAGACTACTTTGTTTCATTGCCTCCAACGATCCAGCTTGTGTTCAGGTTCAAAAATCTCACCACTGTGTTATACCTGCATATGTTAACAAATTTCTAAAGCAAAGGGTTGGTGTGTACTAGTAAGCTCTTGATCCGGGCTCAAATGCGCTAGTCTCGCGGGTGGCAGTGTTCGAGAGAATCACTGGAAAATGTAACCACGCACAAACAGCCACTAAAAGATAATGCATGACATTAGTTAATGGTGGTAACCAATAAGTAACTTATTATTAAATCTGATACTCGTACTACTCCACGGTTTATCCTTTCCGTCTTAGTGCATGTTTGGAACGTTTTGCCAAGCACGCAGTTTTTTAATCCTTAAGTTTGCATTGGTGGATTGTTAGCTGTTCCTATAGCTGTTGGCTCACTTGTTGTAGTTACTAGGTTGGGAGTGGCCAACGCCAGCAGTGGTATGGATACACAACTCGTTTCTGACATTGGCGCATGCTCGGTCAGGTTCTAGCGTTGCAGCAAAGATGAGTACTTCAATGGCCGGTAACATCTTTACTAGTCTCTGAACCACAAGATTTGATACTACGTTTTAGTAATACGAACGGATGCGTTGCAGTATCAGTGCCCAGCCATGAGCAAATCATATTACTGATTTTATATTCAATAATCTATTCGAACACTTGCTAAGTCATCGGAATCTGTGATACAGGCATGAGGAGCTCAAGTAAGCAGAGCATGTTATGAACTGTCTCACAGTGTACCACTCCCTAATCAAAAGACTACTGCTGCAATGACATAAGATGTGTTCTCCGAGACGCCAAGCGCGAATTGATTGCAGTAGTTTATTATACCGACACCTATTATCCATTGACGGATTTAAAGTGCATAGAAGGTAACTGGTTTGTTTATGTAGGGAATGCAAAAGGCGCAGTGCACTCTGAGGTATACTCCTTAGCGTCATGAACTCTGCAGATTCCTTACCTAAATGGAGTGATGAAATGCCTCACGGGTCATCTTCATAACACTTCTTTCAGCCTCCTTCATGGTGCTGGCTACGCCGTCACTGAAGTCAATGGTGAACTGATCCTCAGTAACATGGAAGGATTTCACTACCCTGTAAGTTCTGCGCATACTACATTGCTCCTGATGTCCACGGATACGCTAGCCATCCAAACCGCTCATGTTTCACATGTGCTTTATGAATCAAGTCCAGCCCGCACTGTGAGCCCTCTCAATTTGTCAGTTTTTATTGAAAACTTCCGTACAAATAGCTGTACTCATGTTCCTTTGTTGGTGGACGCGAAACGTGCCACTTATGTTCTACTATCATTGTGCTCAGCTTTCGCTCTGTTCGACCTACATGCACGTGTGCACAGTGTTGCAGCTGATTTTGTAGCTGCAATCGTTCCTTCTATCTCTGTGAAGCGGACACTTCATAAACACGCTTATTTTCTGCTTGTTTACTTTTCGCCATTGCTTTAGCCGTTTCCCTTTTATAAAGAATGTCTACCATCCCAATTCACTCTGTTGTGTATCTTCAAGGTGGATTTAGATCCCTTTGCAAGTGACTTTTCACTGACCGCCTTGGATATCCCCCATCTATTAATTCATTCACTGCTTCCATCCGAGCAGCCTCCTGCCTTCTTCCCCTGTGCTCAGATGGAATGCGATAGCAGTTTAAACATGTTGTGGGTGACCAAAACTACAATGGATTACTTCATCCGTATCTGTTGGTTTATACTATATAGCTGTCTTTAGCCTTCCCCCGTTCGTATGGCCTAGGCAATCGAGGAATGCCAGCGTGCCACCGCAAGATTCTAGTTCTACAGTAAACTTTATGTTCCGATTAATGGAGGTCATATGCTTCAGAAACATCCCTTTTTATTCCTGTCTATACCTACAAATTACTGCCCACGTAGCGTCAAAAAATCTTCGTGCTCTCCACTCAAAGTCGTCTAGATACAGATGTGTCTGGACGAGGGTTATTAAACATCGAATATATATATATATATATATATATATATATATATATATATATATATGCCCCGTGCTGAGGCTGATGTTGCATTCTTGATGCTTCTTCACCGCAGTTGGGGCTAAACCAACTTACACTTAAACTAGGTGGATAAATTTCATTCCACTTTATTTGGTTTGTTCTGCCTACCTGAATAATCTTCTATTAACTGACCACGTTGCTTACGCTAATTGCGTTTATCTTCGGTCATTTTGTTGCGTTTGTAGCATTTTTAAGTAAGTTGTGGACATTTCTTACTTATCACGGATTCGTTACTAACCAACTTACTTCATATGGTAATTTAGCGAATTTATGCCACCGTATCTGTATGCATTATTGGATTTATTTTCTTTCAGCTCGTCGTTTGATAGCCCTGGTATGGTTGCGTTTGATGTGTATGTTGACAAGGTGCCTACCTGTCTATTACCCACTACATCGTCCATACTGGCTCCAGGAGACAGTTGATTGTTACTGGAGGGGACGGGGTGCACGATCCTTGTGGCCGCGATAGGCTTAAAGAGCGGTTCCATGTACTCAGTGTGGAGCGGACTACGGTACAGCCACCGCCTTGTGTGCGCTCGATTCCCCAAATACAGCTTGCTTGTGTTTGCCTGTGAAGGAGTGTGGGCCGGCTCAGTTGATGAAACTTAGTTCCCATCCACATGCCCCCCGGTCTTATTCCTTCGGGTTTACACTGGATATTGGGCGTGTGGTTGGAGCTGCGGGTGGTACAACGCAGGACATCCATGGTTACTCTGTGGGCACAGGTGTCCTGTGGCTTGCCACAGGTGTGTTCGTTCATACATTGGATGCGTCCGCTCATCTGCGTGATTTCCATACAGTTACTTTGGAGGCGTCCGCTCATCCGCGTGATTTTCATAGAGTGTTACCCAACTGGTGCTCGTCTCTGTGTTTACTCCTCGTGCACATGGAACTGGAATCCTGAGGTCATCTTCAACTTTGGGGAAGTCGGCAAGGCTCGCTGTTGTTGTGTCAGCTTGCATCACGCTACTTATATCCGGTTTAGTAGTATCTACCTTCAGTCCACCACACTCCTCCCCCTCCAAAGGATTCGCGTCAGCTGCCTTCCGTCGGAGTCTTTCTGACCGCCGGGGATGTTCACTGTACGAGCGTGTTTCCTCCTCCAATTCGTACCACTTCCTCAGCTCGCTGGCATTCACCCTCCGCGATTCACCTTGCCGAGCGATTGTATACACTGGGCCTCGCCGGTCGATTACCTCGTACGGTCCTTTCCACTTCGCTAGGAGTTTCCTCTCCCCTGGGCCGCAAGTGGGATAGCGTTGATGGTCCCTGTACTTCACTTTCGAACCAATCTGAAACTCGATATTCCTTCCACCTTTGCTGGTCTGGAACTTCGCCATCCTCAGCGCCTGAGTCGCCTGTAGGTTGCGGTTGGCGGTCTTCCGGTTATTACGTGTCTCCTCGGGAGATATACGGCAAGTTGGCCACATTCCAATCTCTAGGTCCACAGGTAGACGAGGTTGTCGACCGTACATCAACTGGAATGGTGATTTCTTTGTGGACGCCTGTTTGGTTGCTCGATGGGTCAGCAACAGTAGCGGCAGCGCTTCCTCCCAGTCTTCACCTTTTGCTGCTAGCCACTCCTTGATTGTTCTATTGTTACGTTCCGTCAGGCCATTTGTTTGCGGGTGGTATGGGGTGGTGCGCAATTTCTTGATGCCAAGTTTCTCCAAACAGTTCCGGAATTCTTCACTCTCGAAGCACGGCCCTTGATCTGTTAAGATGGCCTTTGGGATTCCGTGAGCCGATACCAAGTGATTCATGACAGCATGGGTAACGGTGCTAGCCCGTTGATCCGGGATGCCTGTCGCCTCAATCCATCGCGGGAAGTGCTCCGTCATCAATAAAATGTACTGGTTACCACGCCTGGTCAATGGAAACGGCCCCATCACGTCGACCGACCAAAGTTCACCAATTTCCGAGACCGGGATCGTCATCGTTTGCTGCTGCATTCCTCAGCAATCCGTTTTCATGAGCTGACATTGTCGGCACGAAAGTACGCACTTCTCAACGTCCCTTTTCATTCCCGGCCAATACGCGCGTTGTTTCAGCAGATCGTAGGTCCTGGAACAACCTGTGTGCGCCATCCCGTGACAAGAAACTACTAGATTCCGTCTTCGTTTCATTGGAATGACTGGCACCGAAGGGTTGCTACCTCCTGGTATCCACATTAAGATCCCTGCTTCCTTCACCTGCAGCTTTCCCAGGTCTTTTGCAAACGGTCCCAGCTGCTTGAGTTGGCTTTTGTTGAAGTTTGTCTGACCAGTTAATCGCGCGGTGATCAACTTGCGTAGGAGTTTGTCGCTACGTTGCTCGGTTGCCAACCGTTCTGGATCCTGCTCGCACAGTATACCGTTAATACCGAAAGCTACGCTCGGCAGGTCATCCTCATCTATCATGCGTGACAAAAAATCCGCCGTCTGATTTTCCCTCCCCGGCACGTGTTTTATCGTGAAATCATACTCTTGTAAGCGCAATGCCCATCTCGCCAGTTTTCCTCTGGGGTCTTTGGCAGACTTAATCCACTCCAACGGTCTATGGTCTGTTTCGACGTGAAATCGCTGACCCAGGAGATATGGCCGCCATTTATCTAACGCCCAGACAATTGCGAGACATTCTTTCTCTATGGTTGAGTATCTGCGTTCCGCAGGCGTCAAAGTTCGGCCGGCATATTCGATCGTCCCATGGTTTTGTTTCAACACCGCACCGATCCCGACATCGCTGGCGTCAGTGGCTACCGTGAACATCTCACCAGCGATGGGCAATTTCAGGGTCAACTCCTGCCTTCCCATTTCCTGTAGAATCTGATCAAAGGCTCGTTGAGCTTCTGCATTCCACGTGAATTTCCTATCTTGTTTCAACAGCTCGTACAAGGGTGAGGCCAATGTGTTAAAATCCTTGACGAATTTGCTGTAGTACCCGGCGCGGCCCAGGAATGTCCGGAGAGTGCGTTTCGAGGTGGGAAGTGGGCTGCTTTGTATCGTCATTATCTTCTTAGGTAGCGGTTTCAGTTCGCCTTGTCCCACTTTATGACCCAGTAAGGTGACACAGGTCTTTCCGATCTGGGACTTGGGTCCATTTATCCGAAGTCCCGACTGCTGAATGCGTTCCAGAACTGCCGCGAGATGATGGATATGTTCCGCTTCTGATTGGCTATACACCACAATATCATCCCCGTACACCACCACCTTTTCCAATTCACTCAGCAATCGCAGCATTAGACGTCGGAAGGTAAACGGGGCTCCTGATAATCCAAAGGGCATCCTCTTAAACTGATACTGTTTCTCACCAACGGTAAACGCCGTCTTCTCTCGATCTTCCTGTTTTATTGCTAGTTGCCAGTATCCTGATCTCAAGTCCAGGACCGTGAATATCCTCGACTGCTGCAGCCGACCAAAAATATCAGCACCTGATGGCACTGGAACGAAACGAGTCAAGGAAATTTCATTCAGTCTTCGGAAGTCGACACAGAATCGGTACTTTCCATTCGGCTTCTTCACTAAGACCACAGGAGAGTTGTACGGGCTATGTGCCTCCTCAATCACGCCCGCGTCCAGCATTTCCTGCACTTGCCTGTTTACTTCAGCCTCCAGGTGGATTGGTATCCTTCGAGGTCCATGGGGCCGATACGGTTGGCGAGTTAGCGGGATTGTATGCTCGATCCAATCGCAAAACCCATATTGGCTGCTGTCATCCGTAAACAAGGGTTGGTATTCGTTAATCAGCGACTGCAATGATGGGCTCAAATGTAACACAGCAACGACCGACTGCGAAGATCGCATTTCTCCACGATTAATGAGTGGTAGTGACCCGCATTCCATTAGCAACTTACCACGCTTTAGATCAATGACAGCTTTATTGAGCTCCAGGAAATCTGCTCCCAATATGGTTTGTTTCGCATCTGGTGAAACGAGAAAGGAGTGTGTTCGCTTTCGTCCCCCGATTCCTACGGTGTGTTCGGCTATACCATCAATTCCCACTGAATGACCGCCAACCGCTCTTACGATCGGGCAGCACGACTGCAGCTTTTCACCTTGTCGATGGTTGATTAGTGACACCGCGGCACCCGTATCGATCAGACACCTTTCCATCGTTCCGTCTACTTCCACCATTGCTTCAACCGCACTCCTGCTCAACGCCCCAAGTACGCAATCTTTGATTCGAAAAGAAAAATAAGGTTGCACACGTTTATTCGACACCCGAGTAACACCACGCCTCTGCGGACATTGTCTTTTCCAGTGCCCCGGGTTCCCGCAGATGAAGCAACATCCCTTTGTGCGCACCCGCTAACGCTGAACGCGAAGCCCATTGATGTCTTCCGTAAGCTGCTCCAACATCCGTTCTAATTTGTCCATCCGTTCCACATTCTCACGTGGCTCTTCCTTCAGCGCAGCTAGTGGTGCGTCGCCCAGGTCTCCAGTAACTTGCGCCAGCTCCTCCAATTGCATCTTCCGTGTGGCATTTGCAATCCGAACGCGCTCCGCGGTTGGCTGTGGGAGGCCGGCCAAAAACTGATCCACCAGCAACTGCGTCCTTGACGGTCCAACAAATCCCGGCAAGGCGCGGTCCAACAAGCTCCTGAGGTGCACCGCAAACACGAGGGGATCCGTCCCCGCACCAAGCCGCGACGCCTTGAACCGTCGCATCGCCTCCTGGCGGTCCGCTGGCGTGTCCAGGCCAGAGAGCAATGCCTCCATTCGCGGCGTTCCACTCCAACTTGACTTCGCGTCGCCTCCAGAACCGCCTTCGCCCTGCCCTTGAGGAGACTCCGCAGGGCCGCCATCTTCGCCCGGTCCGTCTTCTTTCCTAGCGCCTCAGCCACCTCCTCGAAATCCTCCAAAAACACCTTCACATCCCCGTCATCAAATGGCTCCGGCCATGGGATTGTCATGGGTTGTGAGGTCACGGCACCAAATATAACAACCCGTGGCTGGCGGTAATTGTTTATTACCAAGTGGCTTAGACTGGGTGTGTTCGTTCATACATTGGATGCGTCCGCTCATCTGCGTGATTTCCATACAGTTACTTTGGAGGCGTCCGCTCATCCGCGTGATTTTCATAGAGTGTTACCCAACTGGTGCTCGTCTCTGTGTTTACTCCTCGTGCACATGGAACTGGAATCCTGAGGTCATCTTCAACTTTGGGGAGGTCGGCAAGGCTCGCTGTTGTTGTGTCAGCTTGCATCACACTACTTATATCCGGTTCAGTAGTATCTGCCTTCAATCCACCAAAGTTGATGAAACGTGGCTCCCATCCACATGCCTCCCGGTCTTATTCCTTCGGGTTTACACTGGATATTGGGCGTGTGGTTGGAGCTGTGGGTGGTACAACGCAAGCCACCCATGGTTCCTCTGTGGGCTCAGGCGTCCTGTGGCTTGCCACAGTGACAGGCAAATCCGAAACCGGATGCCGCCAACCAGATATATATATATATATATATATATATATATATATATATATATTTGTCTATTTATGTATATAACATATGGCTCAGAACGTGGGAGTCGCTATGCGATATCTAATAACCCTCGTCTGGAGAAAGAGAGAGAGAGAGAGAGAGAGGAAGAGTACAACCTGCTGTGTTCACCACCTGCCTATAGTGATCACCCATCCAGGGCGACCACTTTTTGACGGTCCCTTGTGTGGTCGCCTTAGACAGGTTGGACTGTAAATGGCTGGCCAAAAACTTACTTGCAAATGGCTGCATGCTGACCGCGAGTTGCTAGTTTGACCTGACTGGTCTGACTGCCTTTTTTCTAAATTATATTGCATCTGATGTCTGAATTTGGAGTTACGATTCGTTCGTAAAGAATACCGCGCGCTGGTTCATTATACTAAGTTATCTACTGTACCGAACTTTTAGCATGAAGTTTTCACTTGCACCCTGAGCCCTGTGAAAAGTCGGGACATACCAGTCCCAACTCTCGACCAAGTTCACCAGTTGCGCAAAGAGCCTCTACTACTCCACGGTGAAACGGTCCAAAACGGTTACGAAGGTGTGAAAGTCAGTTTGGAGCTGATCACACACACTCCGGTGGATGACTTACCAGGTAAGTTTTTATTCACTCATTCACGACAAGACGTTCACAAGTCCACAGTCACAAATTTTAAGCATGTTAACAAAGGCAATTCCTAGTCGTTGATGAATTCAGCGGAAAACTGAGCTAAAGTATTCCAAAGAACAAAATCTAAAGCATGAACCACTCCGCTTGTTGACTGATGGTTAATTTGTAGTATATAATTCCAACAACTCGTATTCACGTATATCGCGAAATTTTGCAATCGTGTGGGTGGGCTATAGTGAGCATTATGTTGATAAGCAGTTTCATATAACCTGGATAGAAGACTACCGTAACTTTTCAAGATAGTGTACTAACCCGCTGAGCGGACACAGTCCGGATACAATACTAGTGTCACTCATCATCACTCGTGTTGGTTAGATACCCACATATTCTTTTATTAGGTAGCAACGTGGCACACTTTCTCCCAGGTCCCAACTGCCGGCCTTTGTGATGTACTGCCAATATCCACAATAAATTCGTAAAGTAGATGGAAGTGAAGGAAATAAGTATTTCGAGCGATAATTGGAACAACCTTGATGACGGTAGTATTACATAGCGAGCCCGCCGGCTTAATGAATTGCAAATTGAGCACATTTCAAATATACTTATCCACATAGGGCACTGGGCGCAAATTCTTTGCAGGGGATAACCATAGGTTGGGTTGATATTACAATTCCGGAAAGACACTGGGAATCCGTTTCACTTTGTTAGAACTCAGAAGAACTACACGTCCTCCCCGGATTCTGAATAATGAACAATGTTTTAGTAAGTGCTTGACAAACTCACTTTAGGATGGTTGGGGTGAATACTACAAAACCAAAAGTCATCTATCGAACGTCTACCGACTTAAAAGCGTTGCTAACTAACGGTAGTGTAAGTTGAAAGTTGAACACAAGCGTACACAGAAACACGGGATAATAAACGGTGCCTTATCGGTTGCATTGAGGAGGGTGAATAGGGATAAGGATGCTACTGCGCGAGCTTTCCCGTCTCCTTACTTCCTCGCTTGCGCTTTTCCACCCTCGTCATCCCAAGCCAACTGCCTTTTTATTCACCCTGTTTTCAACCATCATATTCTGGGCCGTCCTCAATCTTGCTTCAATAAACACTTTTCTTCTTTCGACTCACTTCTATCACAGTGCATCGATCTAGTCCCATTGACAAGTCCATGTCTAACCAAGCGGACAATATCAGTTCATGCGTTTCTCTTTGGCGCCCGCGACCGTCGCTAAAACTGAGATGCCTCAAAGTGCACCATTGATTTCAGCTTGGTCGACAGGTAGCACTTGCCGGAACACTAGAGATCCTGTCCATCGACATGCTGCTTAGTGGAAACCCGCCTGCTAAATGTAAATTCCTTGATTACCCTGCGATCACCCACAAGCGACACTCACAGCGCGTTCTCATTGCGTTTGCCTGGAGATAACGCGCTATAAATACTTGTCAAGATGATGTGAGCATTGCTTTTAGACTCATGGATGAAGCCGTTCTGGTTGACTGGATCCATGTGAACAGCCAGATGTGTGTCGTCAGATTGGTTGGCTCGTTCAGTGCTATGAACTCGCGCAAAGACAAAGTGTGCATGTTTGTCATTGCGGCCAGCGCGCCCACGAATTATTGTGCTAGTTCGGTGAGAATGAATTCTACCACCAACGGAAACTGCTCCTTCGTCACAGGAATAGTACGGATACTGTGTTCCCCCCCCCCCCAACGATCCGGGTTCCGTTTGCAATTCGGCTATTCTTATGTAGCGAATGTAACCAAGCTCGAATGTGGTCCTGAAATGCAGTGACGATTGGTGTGGACAAGGTGTGAGGACCTTCGCAGGTGACCACCCGCCCTTGACGGCAACTCTCTGAATTACCATAAAAATCCCCGTACACTAACAGCAAGTGTTATTGGTATTATTAGCTTCGATATCTTCAACTTGTAATGCACGGTGATCGTTGTTCACTGTTTTGCTCATTTTATTTTGCTTTGCTAAGGTGCAAATTCACTTTGATCAAGCACTTGACAGGTCTACTGTTTTAATTCAAATTGCTTCTTTTCAGATTGTCACGGTCAGCCAGCATTCGAAAGCCTCCCTGTTTGTCACGAGGCATTTTGGTCCAACATGACACATCCGCTTGATTTTCAGGGCGGTTTCGCCGTATTCAAGGTGAGGACCCTCTGGTACCAACTTTTATTCAATGGCACTACCTATTCTCTAGCATAAGGCATATTCACGAAATTATGCGTCCGCAGGTTGAACCGTAAAAGGTGTTATATACGGTGAATGGCTATCAGCGCAGTCATCCACAAGCGCTCGGCGGGGGCCATAACTTCACCGGAAGTTTGTTCAGTGACACTCGTGGGACAATAAACAAGGCAGAGGGTGAAGCAAGTAGTGTTGACAGAAAAACGTGTACTTGGCTAACGTCGCAGTATGTTATAGATTTTCGACGTTCGGTCGCTGATGCGTACGTCTGGATGATCCTTCGGAATGCATACAAATTTTGGAGCGAACCAGTGCGTGATCGGAGTCCAGACAAGTTGACCAGTACGATCGGCATTCTATTACGCTTCCGCGCCATCTGTAGCTTATTGCTATGTGGTCAAGCTGGGACCACGCGTGCGGTTGAGAAGGCGGACGCCAGGTAGAAATCTGTCCTTTCGATTGACGATAACTTGTATTCGAAAGAAACAAGCGACGATCAAAACAGAGTCAGTAGCCTGTCTCCATTGTCTGATCGGCTGCTAGGAAGGCCAAAACTACCCCAAGATGGTGCTCGCTTGGTGGCAAACGGCCCACTCGTGGGTTAAAGTCTCCGGCAAGGATGACAATGTCGGGCTTTTTAGCGGGACGCAGAAGCTCATGTAGCTGTTGGTAAAAACAGTTAGGAAATACTCATTGAAACAGAAGCTATTTATGCATGCAGCGGTTTGAAAGCACTGCTTTGACCGGAGCTACGGAGAACAGTTGGATCTAACTAGCTGTTCCGATCAATACTAATTTAAACCTAATGGCTAGACCAATACACCTAAGCTAAGCTGACAAGGCTATGGCCATAGTAGAAGTAACATTACACAAGTGCACTCTGTTTGCACAGTTCCGCCTGTAGCGGCTTGACCACTTTTGTTTTTACCTTAAACAATAAACACCTTAATAGCTCTTTTGGGCTGCATTTCGATGCAACGCACACTACTTAAAAAGTATCTTTCCTTTTTGTCTGATGCCCACTGCCTATTAAATGTTCAAGGAAGAAGCTGTTTGTATTCTTAGTAGGGTCAAGTTATACTGAGGAGGGGCAATGTTCCGCTATCAGCTGCGACAGGTGTCGGGTACTGTGCCCGAGGTGCCTCGCACCTGTGCTGCAACTGAACTGATTTGCAACGTATGATACAAACTCTAAATAAACCATAAATGCATATCTTTTCCGACTAGCGGGATACGTTCTCTTTTGTGGAACGATCATTTGTACAGAGAGCTTCGTCATCATTTGATTTATGAACTGTATTCAATATGGACGGGACGGTTCAGACGAGAATTCAGACAATGGCGTCCAGGTACGTTTGGCTCATCGGGGATGACAGATTCCTACACAGCAGCTCGAATGGTTTATCATCTTTGAAGTTAGTGGAAGAAAGACGCTCTGTTTCCTAACGGTCACTTCTGTTTTAGGTGCAGGCCGATGGGCGAAACATTTTTATGGAAGCAGTGGTGTTCCCGTGACTCCCCAGTGTAAGTAGAGATACAACACATCCAGTATGGAATCCTATTTTTCTTCCAGCACTGATCTACAAATCATAGTTGCCCGGTACTACAGACAACGCACTAGGCTTCACCGGTATTTCATCAGTATGAAACCCAACTAAGTGTATAAAGCACAACCGGACTTGAATTGACCTAAGTTTAACGCATGTACTGATCTACCCAGTTCGCTCAAGCGATCCACCCTCCAGTCCTCACAGCTAAACATCCAAGAGGAGTAGTTTACCGTGCCCCTCGATTGCGCAAATTGATTTTAAGTACAAATGGGTGTCATTACCTTGATTCAGCAGGCATATAGCGCGAATGGTCGTTGTGCTGTATCTGGGTAAGCGAATAAAGGAACGAACGAATGGCCGACTGTGAATAAACGAGCACTTTAAAAATAAGCTAGGCAAGAGTTTAATAAAAGTATTCTAGAGTAGCTACTTCTAAAAATGTGACAACGAAATGAAAGCTAGCTAAGTAAGACGTGAGCGTGTGCGGAGTTCTTGGGCGAATGCTGGTATCCGACGGTGGCCCTTACTGGAAAGGGGCGAGTGCGTGCTACCTCGGGACAGCGTGAGTAATATTCAAACAAGCGAGCAACTTAACTGCTAAATTACGTAAGAAGACTATGCTTCAAAGATATTTCACACAAGAGTCCGCAGTCAACCAGGAGAAATCTCCTAGTCACTATATGTGCAAATGATCAGTGTGAGAGTCACAAACGATGAACGTATCACCCATGTAGTATTGCTATAAGCAAGGGATGTTATTTGGGCTGGGATAGATCCACAATCAACTTTTACGAGAAAAATAACTGTAGGAAGCAGTCTTACGGATAATCGCAGCATAACTCCACCTCATTTTCTTTAGTAGTTTTCATTAAATGTTGAGCATGCAAGGCAGAATTAGTTTCCTCACATTTCACACAGGAATAAGTATAACAAACTTGTTCTATGCGAAGTGCGCACATATTTAATTAATGGTTTGCAACAACGTGAAGGTCGCATAAAGAGATTCCACATTAACGAAGAGCACCAATTTGTCCCTCACATTTAGGCTTTTTATCTGTCTAATAAATGTAAATATGTCCCTCACTGTGCGACTGAACAATGTTTTGTGTACTGGTTCACCTTGTTCCACGAACCACATGGTGTGTAGCGGAGATATCGATCTTGGGGAGAAGTTGGATATTAGGTCTACTGACTTTGGGTACACCACAGAGGCGAGATTATGCTCGCCAAAATAGATCATAAAATTTCAGAAAGTGTGTGAAGGCAATTGAACCTATCAAAGGAAGACTGACTTTTTGCTAATAACATCCGCTGCGGACGCAATGACTTTCAAACATGTTTCTTCATGTCCTACCCTTCCCAGATGTTGGATTACTTTGATGCATTTCCAGCACTTTCGAATCCTTCAGATGGCGGGATTCCACTCACTCACAGTTCGAACTCTCTAGTTATCCGGTTCCCTTCACCGTTCTACTGCCTCTATGCGAATAGTGCAAACAAGTAAGCGTTTGGTACCCTGGTGCAATATTGCGAAAGGGTAACACCTAACGCTGACCAGCCTCATGCCTTGCATGGTCATGGTACTGGTGAATTAAACGGAAAAATAACATTGAGCAAGTGCAAAATGAGCAAAGGCTCTGTGGCAGACGACACGTCAAGAACTAAGGGGCACAGCATTGGTAGGAATTGAAAAATGTGGATTACATTGTTCCAAATTTTCTTCTCGATTAGTCCCAAGAAGATCTGTCTTTCGATGTTTGAGAGCAGTTAAGAAACCGAAAACTTGTGAGCAAATAACAGCACCCTTCCACTGCTGCAAATGCACCCAGTACTCAAACACATAACGGAATTAAAACTTGTATTCAAAACGGTGATTCAGCACTTTATTCCTGGACATCACTAGCAAGTAGTTTTGGTGAATAAACCTGACCTCGTAAGTAACTTCACCTGAAGGTTTTTCAGTCTACCTCGTTTTCCCCGAGAGATTGGGAAAATATTAGTGGCAATAGAAATAGTGGCAATGTTTACTGTTGCTTCAGAAATGGTGAATGAAAACATTCTACACCAGGACAGTTTTCTCCGTGCACGTTATCAATCGCATAATCGTCCTGTCTAAAACAATAAGTACTCGATCCCATTGAGGCGTTCTACTATGTCTGTGATGCGGTTGCGGCTCTGCCTTGTCGCTAACGGTTCCTAGTGTTTAGGTTCTATTGATGATTATTTGTTAACATCAGGACTATTTAGTGCTACGTACTGAAGCTTTCACCTCTGTTGGTGGAGAGATGTTTGCATGCGAATTGTCTGTCTTCACGGGCAAGTCGCCGTTTCACCCGACTTCAACCAGAGCAATCACGCAGTCTTATCTTTTTGACGCTTTGCTTCAGTGACTCATCAGGTTTAAACCTCATTACCTACCTAACCTCCTTTGTCGTGATTGTGTTAGCCTGGTGACGAACCACTGAAAAAAGCTTGTTCGCTATCTTTTGTTTCCGATGTATTCTCTTGAAATTAACGCTCAACTGAAGTAGCAATATATCAAATTTCTATTTCCTTGTAAATCAATTGGTACCGGGACGCATTACTATAAACAGCCTATTTAGTTCTACCCATTACCATTGCTAGTTACGAAAACGGCTGTCCACCTATGTGCTAGTCTCACAAATAATTTTCCACCCGTCACAGATTGCATGGAATTAAGGCAGGTGCTCAGTATGTATTATCCATTTCCTCAGCCACCGCTATCTTCATTGGATAATGCACTATAGGGGCTGAAGGGTCCACGAATTACTTCGCTGAAATTCATGCCTTGCTCGGATTCACTGATTGGAGTGTGTAGTGTCAGTTTGCATAGATTTCTGCAAATTATTTCGGCAATATTTTCTACCAGCCCTTTAGGTCTCTCTGTACTCAGGTTAGCTACGTCGTTAACTCCATATTTTTGTGACCATCATGAATACTGTATATTAGGAAATATAAGCCGGTGGGTTTTGAACAATTTTCCATTCATGTAGCTGGGGGTGGGCTTATTAAAAGATTATACACACTTCGAAAAAATCACATGTAAAATCCACCCAGGAATTCACTGCACACTTGCACTATCTGCTAGTGATGGACGGTATTCCAGAAGGGAATTTGAAGTGCCTATAAGTATACACATTATGTTTTGGTCTATAGTTCTCGGTATATTTCACATTTGACGTTTTGCGACGGATGAAAGTAGCAGATACACACTGGTTATACAGAATCAAGCAGCAGCACGCACAATACCATGAAGAAAAACATGACGGAAATGCACCCACCGGTAGATTTTATAGGCTCCCATAATCGAACGCTGCACAATGGTAAGACAAATCACTCGTACGCTTCGAAACTAGTATCCCAGTCTGAATCTCTAAACACTTGCTGGAACTGGTCATTTGTCATTAGGACGTCAGGGTGCATATCGTCATCTTCAACTTCACTGCTCTCGTCATTGTCGTGTTCCTCAAAAATGACATCGTTTTCACTTCCTTCCATAGCATTATTGATGCAGCATTCCTTGACTGATCGAACGATACTTTCTAATGGAATGTCCAGATACGCTTCGTTGACACACACTGCAATTATAATAATGTCAAATTTTTTCAAATCACCACCCTGTGGCAACACTAAATCGGAGGGTGCCATCCATTCAATCCAACTGGACCGAGGTCTGTCTTTAGAGGGCTTAGGGAGGCAGACATCCAGTGTCAGCAAGATTGAGGTAATATCATTGGTAATTAAAGCCACTGACGACTTCAGCTCAAGGCATGGTTTCTCCACGTTCTCAGTCCACTGCGCCTTAAGGGAATCCCAAATAAGCATAGATGATTTCTTTAACAAGGCCCCCTTTCGCTGTCCCCAAACTGTTTTCAGCCAGCCTATGGTGACACTCGTTCATCCATCCTTTCAAGTGAGCCCGCACAATCACGCTGCTTGGGGACTTCGCTCATTTAGGCAGCGTCTTACGTTTACAAAGGATGAAAGGTGCCAAGCAGCAGCAATCTGCCATCCACCCCATAGCAACTGTGTACCGTGTCTTCTCGTGTCTCGTCGTCTTTACAAAAGCTGTGTTACCACCTTTCTGATCCATCGTACCATTTAAAGGTATATCAAAGCACACAGGTGTCTCGTCCGTGTACCGACTCTAGGACATTTCCAAATAATATTGCTTTCTTAGCTGAATCATGAACCATTGGAAAGATTTAACTTTAATGTCCGATTTCTTCCGCAGTTTCTGTACTAGTTTTGTGGGGATCCGTAGACATATGCCGAATCGGTTCATAAAACGATTGCACTATCCGTAGGAAGCAACAAAATTCACCGATTTTGAGGGCTGAAACTCAGGACTTTTCATCATCGTTATTGCCCTGGTCCGAATATCAATTGGGGTAACGGTTAATCTACTATGCCGTGACTCCATAACCTACTGCGCTAACTTTTTCTCCAGTGCAGAAAACATGGTTTTTCTACCGCATGCTGCTCCCTTGCCTACAGGCATTAGTGAGATTTTTGACTTTTCCTTTCGTCATTCTCTCGCTTACTTTTCATTCACCGTGAAATGGGGTGCAGCCATATAAGTAGTAGATTGCTTGGCAAACGCCATACCTTTCAATTTAAACCCAACACCATATGCACGTCGCTTCTGTCCAGACAATTTTTGCACGTTCCCACGGCTTTGGAAGATCACACCAAATGTGGGCACATTCACTCTCAGCGAGATCATGTGACGCCGCGTTAGCGCTATGTTGGCTAGCGATCTAGCGCAGTAAATGTACAGCGTCCTCCCACACCACTGATCGTGAACTTCCAGCTTACCCGATGCTCTGCTGTGATTCATATGCACGAGCCCCCCCCCCCCCCACTATGCGAGACAGAGTGTCTGACATACCCCTCACATCTTAACCCACACTGTCTTATCTGTTTCATCCAACTTGACATCTGGTCAATACACTGCACAGTGCGGTGAATGTCTTTGTTTTGATGGACCTATGCCCCTTTAACCGCATCATAACACATTACGGTCACCACAGGTTTTGCTTGAAGACACCCAAGTGAGAGCAGGTATTGATGAAGTCAAAATCGTGGAGAAACAATTTCGGTTCTCTTTTCGTTTATTTTTTTTGGGGGGGGGGATTGGCTAATATGTGGAACTTGCAACTTTGGACAAAGTTGATGTTTCAAGGTTATACTGTAGGCTTATCCATGCACACGCTTATATTCGGTAACCTACGGTGTAGGTCTACCGAATTTGAAGCACACATCGCTTGAAAATCGTTATTATCACCTAAATTACTGACGCGGTTAGATGTGAATCGGAGAGGCTGAGTCGCCTTTTCCTCACTACCACAGCGATACCAACTTTCGCGAAAGCAATGATGGCCGGATGTGGTGATGTGATGATGTTGCAGTATGTTTGCCCTGTGCTTCACTCTCATGATTAAACATTTTATTTGCTTTATCCATGTAGGTTCTGTGAAGTTTGTTAGTGAAGTGATTTTAAAGGTTTCACACAGAATGCTGTAAACGGTATGTAAGCAGGTCTACGTATGCACTCAGCACAACATCGGAACCGGATACCTTTGACTTAGATGTACTGCTTGAATGAAACTTTTAGGTTGAAGTATCGTTGAGGTGACAATGATATTTCGACATCCAGAGAAATTAATCCAACGCTAACAGTTATTCCTGTATCCATCAAATGAGGTGAGTTAATTGATGTCCAGCAATTTGATGGAATCATTTCTCTCTAACTCAGTTCATTTCACTGTTACAAACATAAACATCACTGTTCGCTTCCGACATTTTTCTGCAGCATGAACTTCTGGACTACAATCCGGAAAAAGATTTACTTCGATGGATAAAGCGACTGGTGGAAGATTTCTGTGACGCTTATGGTTGTACCGTTGTTAAAGCGTGTTTCGTGGGCGATGAAGAGAAAAGTGGTAGGTTCATAGGTGTTGTATGACTCGTCGTTTCTATGCATACAAACCAGCACAAACGACTTATCCGGAAGTTATGCTCTTCACTACCGTTTAAACGAGGGTGTGACTCGGATAGCGCTGCTGTTCTACAGCATTCCGCTGCAAATTTGTCGAATAGTCACAAAATCCTTCCTGTTTAGCCGCCACTTGGACCTATCACCAGAAGTGCAAAAGCTCAACTATTCAAATCGGTGGACTCGAGAGGATTGTCGGATCGAAATAATTGCAGTGTCAAATAAATTTCCCCTCTATCAGTAGTGATGGTTTTGATTGCTGAGATTGATTAAAAATGTTTGTAGTGGGTAATTCTAATGATATAATGGGAAAATGGTATGTCCCATGCCGCACGGCAAGAAATATTTTGCTTTAATGGCTGGCGTTAACAGACATGGCATTAATACTTAGGTTTGGAACTTTTTAGGAGTAATCCGTAAGGACGTGGTTGTCATCTTCACCTCAGAATATAGTGGCCCCAATTGCTTCCGCGCTTCTTATACGGTTGCGATTGCAGTGATTGCTTGCGTTTGCACCCGCACGAAATGAAGCTTATCCTGAAGCTAAAAATGACGCATAGAGGTGGGACATCAATCTACAACAGGTTAGACAATTTTGCAGGGATTTGCGGCCAGCATAGTATTCCAACCGGATTACTCCTTTCGTAACTCTCTTTGCTATCTGAATTCAGTCGAACATCTTGCATCGTTTTGTTTTTTATTTGGCACATCAACCACCTTGTAAATGTAATGTTGCGAGCATGTAGGCCAAATAATGTCCTCCAGTTTCTCGTAGAACTCTTACTACGGTGTCCTATGCTCATTCTTGAGGTCCTGTAGGGGTTGGATTTGTGGCAAAGTAGAGCTGTTGGAGAACAGTTGTGTTTCAAGGTCAGTTGGAACTCAAAGGTTTCATAAGAACCATCATCGATGAAACCGGGTGTCTGCGTCAATTCCGCCACTGCATTACTGCAAACGCTGCGTTGAGTTACAGTACACTTTTGGGCTGTAGCTTAGCCGAGCGTTTTCAACTTTCCTGGGCACCTACCAACCGGCCATAAAAATACTTGGCAGTATACAGATACAATACACAAGTACAAAGTCTGTGCGAACCCAATAGTCCACGCGTGAAATGCGTGCTCCTGGGTCATTTTGATCATTCCTTTCTATATTCACTCTATCTTTTCGAATTGTTAGCACCGTGTGCTCATTCGAACCAGATTTACTAGCTATACACAGTGATCCATCATACGTGGAATTAGTTTTTAGGATTCAAGTTCTCACCACCACCAACTGTTTTAACTGTCCTTCGTGAATAATCACAAGCGGATAACTCAAGCATTTGGAGTAGATCGTCCTGCTGTGTAACACTATTCGATAGATAACTCAAAGTCTAAGCTAATTCCAATCCGGTGTTTCTAAATGCAGCTGAGGAGGAATAGGGGACCACTCAGTGCGTGTTTAACGTTGTACTCAAATTCAGTTCCAGGTTCCAGGCACTCGCCATTCTTTGTGAGCTTGCCCGTCAGCGCGGCTGCATGACCAAGGACACGGACCGCGCGACCATGCCCACCGTCCATTTGACCTTTGTAACCACAACGCTGGCGTAACCGAGGTGCGCCCCTATCGAAATAGGAAAAGTACAGAATATCCACTAAATCACTGGATCAAGAAACGACACTACGTTGAATAGCAGCGAGTTAGCAAATGCGAATCCAAAAGGGCTCTAGGCAAGTGGTATCTACGGGTTAGGGGCGATGTCATCAATTAGTTAAATTAGGTTTGGGTTTCTCGCGTTGTTTCAAATGGTATCATCCGTAGCGTGCAACTTTATCCCAACAACATGTACGAGAGCGAAATAATTCCCAACATATCCTCTGGTTCTCTACCACGTGCTTCACCATCCCATCCGTTAATCGTATGCTTATCGTAGTACAGAAGTGCGACCGGTTAACGGCAGAAGCCGAATAGCGAATGAACAATAAGAGTACTCGATACCTTGGAACATATTTGGAACCGATCAGGAAGTCATCATTTCATAAAACTTGGTAGACGACCGGTTAATATATTTATAATGATAAACAACATTTCGCTTTTTACCCAATAGCTTCAGCAGGAAGCCTTTGTGTTTTAATGCGAAACGTTGCGTATAATCATAGATATATAATAACCAGCCGTCTACTAAGTTTTCTGAAACAAGAAGAATACTTCATTGGCAGCGACTTTGCGCCAAGACAGCGCAGTGCCCTGTAAGCAACGCAATGCGATACAACTTGCTTCCCCCGAACCTCAGTCAACCAGGTCCTCATCGCCGTTGTCTTCTCCAAGTTCGGCAGAACGCCGGGCGAAAACTAACCGTAGCTACGAGAGTCAGGCAATACTCATGGCGAAGAAAATCAGGCACCACCCGAAAGCTCTGATTAAACAAACTCTACCAGACCTGACATCTGTTATTAACAAAGATGAAACAGCCAAACATCAACCCTCGGTATCTGCAGCTCAAAGGTCACTTATCGAGCCAAAGTCCCCAGGGACATCAATTTCACATGCAGAGATTGCTGCAAAGGTCATCCTAGAGGCTCCTTACCGTCCGTTCTGTTGTAAACACCGTCAACGCTAATAGAGAGACAAACAGTAAACAGTCACTACTTGTCAGTTGGTCTGGGCAAAGGATTCTCACACCTTGTAGCTCAGTGAAACAATATCTAACAATAGTGCCAAAACTGTTGTGCGGCTCTAATGTCGCTGAAACTACCGGCATCACATTGCGTTGTAAGTTATCAGACGACCAAGACCAGTGGAACTCATCGTGCATGCTGAGGAGCGTCCAAGTCAGACTCACAAACCTAGTACGGTTTACTGGTCATCTGAACTCTGCACTCTATGGGGAACCCAGACTTATTCGAGTAACATTCGAATCATCCACTGACGTAGAAAACCTTGTATTCTCTGGTAGTGCGCTACGACACAGATCCTGTGGGATACGCAGCTATCCTGAAGTCCCTTGGGGCGCGTGAAAATCTAAAAGAAACACCAAAAATGGACAAAGCAAGCAAAATCGCGTAAACACTATCTTCATAAATGGCGTGCCAGAGCTTCCTTCCAATGATATTCAAGGGGCCGGAAAACACGATTAAAGACAATGGCGTTGCATTCATGATAAAATTTCCTTGAATAATGTTGTGACTTTACCGTTCAGAGAGCTACCCCTCTCACCATATAATAGTGGATGCGGCCCAAGCGTACTAAAACTTGTGGTTCAGTCAGAGAAAACAGGAACGGCTATCTTGGATCGATGGCGGGGAATTCGGAAAAGCCTTCTACAGCAGCTTCACAAATTAAGATATCCAAACATCTGAATAGGCATACGTACTGACGAGTACATAGGAGTTGTACTTGATTCCTGCTTTACTCGACTGTGATATGTGTCCTTACGAAGATTGGGTTGCGCCTTGGCAGAAGCAAGTTACAGACGAGGTATCAATATACCATCAAAAATCGAGTGACTGCCGACCTCCCATCGGCTGGTATTCTCCTACACTTGACCCCTTTACCTATCTGTGGGCTCCTGGAGACCGGGGCACTAGTCTGCTTGTATACGAATGTTCAAGGTATTTTCAGTTAACTGACCGCACCGCAATATTGCCAAGTTTCTTATCCATATGATATTGTCGGTATCACTAAGACATGAATACACACTGTAACGACGAATGCCGAAGTTTCGCTACCGCGCACGTCGCTCATCCGGAACAACAGACTCGCAGAAGGAGGAGGGCTAATTATGTATTACTGTTTTGACTTACATTAGGAAGCCGTGGAGAATTTAGACTCGCAGTTCCCCGATTCTGTTTGTCGCCGTCTGCAGTTAGAAGGCAGAGACACTTGCCTTATCACTTTGGCGTACCGCCTCTCTAACCCTACACTCGAAACCGACTGCCAAATTGCGGCTGCTTTAAGACACGCCCTAAAATGAAGATACACTCACGTCCTTATCATAGTTCTTACAAGGTACATTGTTTGGAAGCAATTCAGAGCTGGTCTCAAGGAGCTCGTAACTGTTGTTCCGCTTTAAAGTCATGTCACCTAGCCCACTCGGTTCAGAACAAGTAACAGGCCATCTGTAATGGATCTTTTGCTTGCCAACAAAGAGCATATGATTGATCTTTTAACCGTAAATTACCCGTTGCGTCCTATTGAGCATGAAATCAACAGTCTCAACTTGGTATGCTATGCGAAATATCTGGTTGCAAACCATGAGACCGTACGAACCATCAGAAGCCACCATCAATTAGTATATCTCGTCAGCACCACAACCTAGTCGATCCATGCCGAAAAACCCCCGGGCCATTGTCGCATTTTTTTCAAACGTGTTAAGATAAGCCAATTGTGGCTATCATGTAAAAATAGGACTTGATTACTCTAATTTTCAAAAGCAGTACTCGCTCGGAACCCGCCAATTATCGCCCAGGGGTCCTCCTCCCAGCTTTCTCAAAGGTGATGGGGGTAATCATCGCTGAGACCAACTAGAACGCCACAAGGTGTCAGCACGCGAGCAGCGAGCTTTCCTGTAACGCCTTGCATGCACTAGCAACTTACTGGTTGCATGCAGTGGTTGGACGTGTGGACGATAAAGGTAGGGGGAAAGAGGTCATTTGCCTCATCTTCTCCGAAGCCTTCGACCGATTAGACCATCGCATTCTGCTTCACAGAGTCGAAAGCTATGGAGTCGGGGAGCCAATTCTTGGGTCGACCAGACATTTTTTGCAGGATTGGCAACTTCAGGGCAGAGTTCAAAGTGCGCTGTTCAAGCAGATTCATGTCGAAGTTGGAGTTCCACAAGGATCAGTTCTGGGGCCTCGTGCATTTCTCGTGTACATTAACGAGCTTACGCGTTTGATTCCACTAGCTTTCTTGTTGTTCTCTGATGATGTTAAAATGTGGCGGGTGATCGCCGACTAAGGAGATCAC